TATCACAAAAGTTCTTTAAAATTACCAAATCACAGTTCAGTCGGGGTCACCACTTTTGTAACTGGTCGTTACTTTGTTCCTTTATTACTGGGGTTGCGTATATGTACAGAGAGAAATAATAAGTCTATGAACAACTTATTTAAATTTATTAATCACGACTGTATACAATATATGTGGGTGTGCTGTAGTACGGTATACAAGACGACCACGGGACAACTGTCGTTCACAGCGCACTACAGTACCGATAACTCAAAACGTTGCGTCAGCATTCCCGCAACACTACAAAAAAAGAAAAACTGCTATTAGAAGTTAACAAGCATATTAATACACAAACAATGATAAATCTTATAGTAATGGGACTACCAAATTATATAATAGAAAAAATTGATAAAGGATCAGTAAGAACAACAGCAAACTTGTATAATGAAATTGGAAAACATGAATATGCAGTAAACAAAAAGAATTTCTACACCCCTAAACAAAATGCCTCTGATTCTAAAGGAAACATTGATAAAAATAAACCTTGTAAGACTTGTGAAATTTTAAATAAAGGTATTCGGTTCCATCCAGAATTTATGTCTATTATTTTTTTTATGTGAGTAGAAACTCAACTTATTTTACAACACTAGACATAAATTCTGCATTCTGGTCCATTCCGCTCAGAATTGAAGACAGAAAGAAGACAGCCTTCGTGACGCAGGAGGGCCATTACCAGTGGACGTGTTTGCCGTTTGGGTTGAAGACCTCTCCAGCCATTTTTCAAAGGATACTAGGTAACATTCTTAGAAAATATAAGCTTACTGACTTTGCAGTTAATTTTATAGACGATATACTGATACACTCAAAATCCTTTTCTGAACACATAAACCATTTATCACAATTATTAGAAGCTATTAAAAAAGAGGGTTTTAGATTAAAATTCACAAAATGTACATTTGCTTCAGATTCTGTTAAATATCTTGGTCATATAATACATAATAACACAGTAGGTACAACCCGTGAGAGACAATTTAATTTCAATTAAAGATTTCCCAATACCTAAGACTCAGAAAAATGTAAGACAGTTTCTTGGGAAAGTTAATTTTTATCACGAATATTTGCCAAAAAGTGCGATAATTTTAGAACCTCTTCATAATTTACTCCGAAAAAATACTAAATTTGTATGGTCTGCGGATTGTCAAAAATCTTTTGAAATTATAAAAGATTTATTATGCTCACAACCAATCTTAGAAATTTTTGATCAAAATTTGCCTATAAAAATTCATACAGATGCATCTTTAGAAGGTATTGGAGCAGTCTTAAAACAAACACAGCCAAATGGAGTAGATAAACCAGTAGCATACTTCTCAAAAAAACTAAACCAAGCTCAAAAGAAAAAGAAGGCAATTTATATAGAATGCTTAGCAATAAAGGAAGCTATAAGATACTGGCAATATTGGCTTATAGGTAAAACATTCACTGTATATTCTGACCATAAACCACTAGAAAATTTAAATATTAAATCTAGGACAGACGATGAACTAGGGGATTTAACATATTATTTATCACAATATGATTTTGTAATCAAATATGCACCTGGTAAACACAATGTTGAAGCAGACTGTTTGAGTAGGAACCCAGTATTAGATGCAAATGAGAGTACAGATGAACAATTGAAAATTGTAAACATGATAAAATTTAATGATATTATTACAGACCAAGAAAACAATTTAGACATACAAAAAAATAAATCAAATTTGATACTAAAACATAATGTATACTATAAAAACAACAAAAAAATATTTGATCTGAAGATTATAGTAAAAAGCTCATTAAACATGTACATGAAAACATGTATCACTTAGGTATTAAGCAAATGCAAAACAAAATTAGTAAATTATACACAGCAAAAAACTTAACAACAAACATAAAAAAACATTGTCAAAGCTGTGAAATATGTATAAAAAACAAGAACAGGGGGCATGCTAAATTTGGTCTAATGTCCCAGTTAGGTCCTGCCACAAAACCTTTTGAAATTGTCTCGATAGATACAATTGGAGGTTTTGGAGGCTCACGATCAACAAAAAAGTATCTACACCTTTTAGTGGACCACTTTACCCGATATGCATACATTGTTACTTCAAAGACACAAAATGCTAATGATTTTGTAAAACTACTCAATAAGGTAGTAGAGTCTTATACTATTGGGATGGTACTCACTGATCAGTACCCAGGAATCAACTCAAAAGAATTTAAATCATTTTTGAATAGAAAATCAATACCAATAATTTTTACTGCCGTAAATGCCCCATTTTTTAACGGATTAAATGAACGACTTAACCAAACTCTTGTAAACAAAATAAGATGTAAATTAAACGAAAACAATAATAATAAAAAAGCATGGACAACCATTGCTCATAACTGCGTAGATAAATATAATAATACTGAACATACAGTTACAGGGTTTGCACCTAAATATTTATTAAATGGTACAGATGTTTCTTTTTTACCAAATGAATTAAAAATAAATAAAACAGAAGTAGAGTGGATCAGAGATAAAAAAATAGCATTTGAAAATTCATTAAAATCACATAACTGTAATAAACAAAGATTTGATAAGAATAGGACATACTTTGATTTCAGCGCAGGGGATTTGGTTTATGTAGAAAATGGTAACAAACTGAATAGACGTAAATTAGATGAACTAAAGATTGGTCCATTTAAAATTATTGAAAAAATATCTAATTCAATTTATAAAATTGATACAGGTCATAAAAAATCTGAGTCAAATCTCTTTCATATTACTAAACTTATACCATTTCTTAAACAAAAAACTTAAATACTATCATTAGTATAATTAATACTATCAATAATGGAAATTTGAGAAGAATCTGAATATGCATGTATACTTATTGTGTATTTGTATGTATACTTTAGTGTTAAGTTAGTTAAAGTATTAATTAATATGTAACTAAATGTAAAATAGGTAACTTAAGGTAAGATTGTCATAATTTTTTTTTTGGAAATTGTTTAACATTAGTTAAACAAAACAAATTTGTAATTTGTTTTGTTTTACACATTGCATATACAATAGGTACTATTAAAAGATTTTAAGGATTGATGTTTAAATTGATATAATTTAAAATAGTTGACTTTTGTTGTTAAACTTTTACTTTAGATGTGTAATTTCAATGAAAGTTTTGGTAAACTTTCTTTTTGAGGAGGGAGATGTAAAGAAAATATATATTCTTTAATTTATTGTCTACAATGTCATCTAAGTGAAGAATTTTATTATGCTGGCAATATTGTGAGAAAACAGCGCTTAAAAAGAGTGACTAACAAAATTGGAAATAAAACTACAAAATATAAAGAGAATTTAGAATTAAAATAATATACTTTAATCGCCGTTTCTTTGTTTTACAGGTAAGATTAAAGATATTTGCAATAGATGCGTAGATGTTATAACGATTTACGTTAAATAAAAAACTTTGTTTTACAGAGCAACACGTGGATATTATTTGTTCTTCATTCCCATAAAATTACATTATATATATAACTGCAAAGGTAAGTCTCGACTTTCCCGCCACAATATCAGCTGTAAGTTACGTTGGTCCGAATGTATCAATACCTGGCGGTACATTTTTTGTATGTCCGCGCACGCCACGTATTTATACTGTCGGAATCTAAGTAAAATTGAAAAAATATCATTTTGTAATGGAGGCCCTTTATGCTGGAGGTTATTCAACGACTTGTTGTTCGACGTATTCGCGCTCGCGTCGAACACAACGCGTAACTTTGTAGTGATACTATCCTCTTGGTAGACACCGTGATGAGGTAGGATGTAATGCGGTTTACTTAGTAAATCGGGAATATCCTTTTTTGCAATTACGGTCATGTGACCAAGTGCCTCATATTCTCGAATAAATTCGCTATAAAGTTTCTTATAACTAGGTAAACGGTCTAACTTTCTTTCGAGGGATAAAAAACGATTTTTAGTCATGGTATATGAATCACCTAACGATTCGGGTGACTCCTTTAAAGGAATTCGAACTGAGAACCTACCGTGTTCGTCACGTTTCGTAGTCTCTGTAAATAACGTTTCACAGTAACGATCATCCTTTGACATGGCAGTTGGTAAGTCAGTCACCTCTTCTAACTCCCAGAATAATTTCAATTGATTATTAATTTGAACTAAATTACACTGAACCCTTTCAGATTTAAACGACTGATTATTATAAATAGGGCCAGATATAATCCATCCTATTTTTTAATCGTACAGATATGGACCATTACTAAGCTTAATTTTATCATTATTTAATAGATCCCAAAATATATCCGCTCCTAAGAGGATATCGATATCCGACGGAACACTAAACGTAGGGTCCGCAAGCGAGATAGAATTAGGTATCTATATACATTGACATTCAACGTGTAACGAGGGTAACTTCGATGTAATACGAGGAAGAACCCAGCATTGGATATTTTTATTGAAATCATTAACTTTAGAACGAATGTTTACATTGAAGGTGTGAGAACTTTTTGAAACGCTTTGTCCTACACCCGTGATATGAATTGTGGACTGTATAATAGGTAAACGTTAACGACTACATAACGATTCTGTGATAAAACAATTCTGACTCCCATTGTCAAGAAGTGCTTTAACTGTGTGATAATTATTACAGTAGAACTCCAATTATCCGAATCGCCGATTATCCGAATCACAAAAAATTGTCCAAAAAAAGTCTAAGTGCGCTATTATTCTTCCCCCCGCGAAGCCAGTGTTTGCGCGTCAAGTCTTGACTTGACTTGTCTTAACTTGCCGTTGTGCCTACACTGACTTCCCCCCGCGTGTGTAGGCACAACGGCAAGTTAAGACAAGTTCCGGCGCATTGCAGTCACGGCGCACCTGTCATTGTTTGTTTTGATTAGCCAGTGTGCTATTGACCTTGCTCGAGGACGCTACTCTTTCGCTACGGCTTACTTTTGTTTGTGCGTGTACAATACTGTATTGTTTTTATACCATGGCTTCGAAAAGAAAACGTGTTGTGCTATCGTTAGCGGACAAACTGAAAATTATAGAGCAACTCGATAAAGGTGTAACGGGTAAGAAGTTGTCTGAGATTTATGGTGTCGGACAAGCAACAATTTCTGACATTAAAAACAGTAAGTCAACACTTTTTTTCGGTGCTTGAAAATGAAGATGGAAGTTCCTCCAGGAAAACAATGAAGACAGCAACCAACAAAAATTTGGAAGATGCCGTGTTTAAATGGTTTTTGCAGCAACGTTCTATGGGAAATCCGATTTCAGGTCCAATCCTTTGTGAAAAAGCCAAAATCTTAGCAGAAAAGCTTGGTTATTCATCTTTTAAGGCTAGTAACGGCTGGCTAAGGAATTTTAAATTCAGGCATGGTGTACGCGAGTTAGATTTGGCTGGTGAGAAGCTTTCAGCAGACTCTGCAGCTGCTGAAAATTTTATTGAAAAATTTAAAACTGCATCAGAATCCTATGATCCGGAGTTTGTTTATAATGCCGATGAAACTGGCCTTGTTTGGAAAGCATTACCAAAAACCACTTTGGCTTCTAAAAGGGAATCTAGTGCCCCTGGACATAAGGTCAGTAAAGAACGTGTTACAGTGCTTAACTGTGCCAACTCCACTGGAAATCATAAACTGCCACTTCTTTTGATAGGAAAATCAAGAAATCCAAGAGCATTTAAAAACGTAAAAAAACTTCCACTATTCTACAAAAGTCAACCCAAGGCCTGGATGACTGCAGCTTTGTTTACCGAATGGTATGATGAAGTGTTTATTCCTGAAGTGAAAAAGCACCAAAAATCGGTATGAAAAGAAGGCAGTAAGGTGCTTTTAATTGTTGATAACGCACCCACTCATCCTACAGCAGAACTGTTGGAAAGAGAGAATGGGCAGTTTAAAACGACGTTTTTGCCTCCCAATGTTACAAGTTTGCTGCAACCCATGGACCAGTCTGTTATTGAAACAATGAAGCGCCATTACAGAAGGCAACTGCTGAGAAAACTGCTGATCGAAGGTGCTGAAGATGAAGAATTGGTTTTGGCAAATCATAGCAAAGTAAATTTAAAGGACTGCTGTTACATGGTAGCGGAAGCTTGGAGTTTGGTTACGGCAGTGACGCTAAGACGTGCGTGTAATAAACTGAAAGGCCTACCGTCTGAGAAGAACAAAAAAAAAGAATCTGAAGAAAATGAGAAACAAGAATATGGAGAGGATGATGATGATAAAGATGCGTTGTCACTAGAGGAAATAAGAAAAATGATTGTAAAAATTCCTGGTTGTACAGAAGTAAGTGCTGAAGATGTAGGAGAGTGGATGGCTTGTGACACGTCTGACCTTGGTTTTCAAATTCTCAATGACGATGAAATTGTTGTAAGTGTGAGAGAAGATGTTGAAGTGGAAGTGGAAGAAGAACTTTCTGCTGATGTTGAAGTAGACGCTGGACCATCAGCTAGTGAAGCATTTGCCGGCCTCGAGACTGCTTTGAAGTGGATGGAGCGTCAGCCCGAGTGTGATCACTTGCAACTGCTCACCGTCAAGCGAATGCGTGACCTGGCTGCCGGAAAACGGTTGAAGACCGCAAAACAGCTTACATTGACGGAGATGTTTAAAAAACAATGATTTTTATTTCTAAACTTGTACATAAGTACATTTTATTTATATTTAAAACATGTAAAAATTTCATGTTTCTTTCATTTAATTCAATAAAAAAATAGTGCAATATCAAAACGTAGCTTTTATTCTCTCCAATGGCAATTTTTTTTAAAAAAATCCGATTATCCGAATATTTGATTATCCGAATGGGTCCCGGTCCCCATTAATTCGGATAATTGGAGTTCTACTGTACTTGAATCAGGAACGTCGATGAGCGCCGTCGATAACAAAACCGGTTGTATCGCGGCACTGCAGGTTGTTTTGAAGCGGACTGTATATAGGTATTTTGCTGGTCATCTACCTTAAAGGAAACCACGAGTAGAAATTATGCTTGTTTATTGTAGATCGGATGGAACGCAAGTGAATGTTACATTGGTATATTGTCGTTGGCAGCTAAAGGATACACAATGCAGCCAACATAATTAAACTAAGATGTTGTGTTACCAACATATTGGCCAGGGCGACAAATGGTTTAATAATAAGCCTATAATAAAGTTTTGACAACCCTAGGAAGATACACAAGTACTTAAAACAAACAAGTACAATGCTTAGACAAACATAATGCTTGACAGTTTAAAAAGGATAACACAAAAATATTATTACAGCTACACAGCCACTAAACTCAAATTGAAAGGCTAAACTTGTAGCAATCTGTATATAAATAGTTCACAAATACCACACACTTGATGTGTTACATATTAATTTATGTTCAAGAGAACATTTTGCCCTTACACTTGCGACCTTAAATTAAAAGTTTTAACTTTATAAGTGAATGAACTAAACTATAGTTTTAAAAAAAAAATGTTTACGCTTACTTATACATCTACAAAACAATATAAGTAGATAACATACATGACACAGTCAGTCTTGCCACCAGGAAAAAACAAGTACCAAGTAACTTCAAATAACAAATGTTAAGTAGTACCTATGTATTATACATTGGTAACAATACCTATGTATTATAAAAAATTAAATTTAATTTAATTTAACAATTTACTCATTTTAATTGAGTATGCACCTTATTGTCTAAGTAACTGTAAAACAAGTATTTGCTGACATTTAAACACTATCATTGTCTACAGGCAGCAAACATACCTTGGTGATAGACCGTTTATGAGTTTTACCATTAGAGGTCATGACTTCTACTACTCTAACCCTGTTATCAGTAGTCCCTGGAAAGACTTGCGTAACTCTGGCCATAGGCCAATACAAAGGGGCTAAATTATCATCCTTTAATATAACAAGAGAGCCTATCTTAATGTTAGGATGAACATCGGTCCACTTAGGGCGAGATTGTAATATATTAAGATATTGTTTTCTCCATTGCTTCCAAAATGAATGTTTAAGATTGTTACAAACGTTCCAAGACTTTAATCTGGAAATAGATGCATTTTCTTGTTCAGGATATGAATTTAGAGGTGATCCTATGAGAAAATGTCCAGGGGTGATACATGAAAAATCATTTACATCTGCAGACAATGGCATGAGAGGTCTGCTGTTTAATACAGCCTCTATTTGACACAAAAGTGTATTAAGTTCTTCATATGTAAGTGAGGAAGTTTGCATGACTCTCTTTAAATGATATTTCATACTCTTGACTCCCGCTTCTGCGAGTCCGGCAAAAGTTGGAGAATAACAAGGCAAAAAATGAAAGTTAATACCCTTCTGTGCAGCAAAGTCATATACTTGTTTCTGATGCATTTGACAATTTTGTAATTTATACAGCTCATCAAGCTGTGTTTTAGCACATTTAAATGTTGATGCGTTATCTGAATAAATATCAGTAGGTAGTCCTCTACGAGAAACAAACCTTTTGAGACAAGCAAGAAAGGTTTCAGTTTTTAGATCTGAGGCTAACTCAAGGTGTATAGCCCTTGTCACAAAACACACAAAGAGGCAAACATAACCCTTTGTAATGATTGGCTTTCTGATTCTAGCTACCTTAACTGAAATAGGACCTGCAAAGTCCATGCCTATTTTTTGAAAAGGGCGACAGATATTTACTCTGTCTGCAGGTAAACTGCCCATCAGTTGTTTGGCTGATTCTGCCTTTAATCTAAAGCAAGTAATGCATTTATGTAAAACATTTTTTACCTGTCTCAATCCTTGCACAATCCAAAACCTTTGGTTAATCGATGACAATACTAGTCTAGGTCCAGCATGTAGATTTTTAACATGTTCATTTTCAATTATTAACTCTGTTATCCGTGACTCTCGAGGTAAGAGTATTGGATGTTTCTGTGAATAGGAAATAGAAGCATTATGTAACCTGCCTCCTACTCGCAGAAGACCATTGCCATCAACAAATGGACTCAAAGGCTTTAAATTACCTTTAACAATTACATTCTTAGATCTTAAGGCATTAAATTCATCTTTGTAATGTTTTAGCTGCTCATGTTTAACAATTAACAACAATGAGTTACTTAATTCTTGACTTGTCAAATAACAAAGTTTAGTTTTATTATTTTTTGACCTTACATTTTGAACAAAGCGTAATACGTAAGCTAAGACCCCTTGCATCTTATTAATATTAGAATAATTATCTAGAAATTCTAAAGTTAGATTCTGCTCATCAGTAGAAAGAGAACAAACCATAGCATTGAAGGATGTGGAGGCCTCTTTGGTTTCAGGTAAGCGGCTTGGAATAGCTAAATTTAGCTCCGGCTCATACTTACATGTATGCAACAACTTTGGACCCTTCCACCATAATGGATGTTGCTCTAACTCATGAGGTAAGACACCTCTGCTAAGACAGTCGGCAGGGTTCTCGCTAGTACCTATGTAAGCCCATGTGAATTTATGAGATAGCTCTAAAAGTATTTTTACTCTATTTGCTACATATGCACTGAGCTTTATCAATGGCGTTTTGATCCAAGCTAAAACAATTTGAGAATCAGAGTGCAAAATAACTTCATCGATCTTCAGTTTTAGTGATAATGTATCATGGACTCGATTGACTAATTTAGCCAACAATACTGCAGCATTGAGCTCTAGGCGTGGAACAGTCATGTCTTGTTTAATTGGATTTATGCGACTTTTTGAGCAGAGTAAAGAAACTTTTATACTACCAGTTTCATTGACAACTCGTAAATAAACACAGCAACCATAGGCAGTATTTTTTGATGCATCTGCATAACCTATGATCTGTATCAAATTTGTGTTGTGTAAATTTGTGTATCGTGGCACATTTATTGGTCTCATGTTAAGTAAACTATTATAAAACTCTCGCCATGAGTGCGAAATCTTATCATTGGGGGTACTGTCCCAATCAATCTTAGCTAGCCATAGCTGCTGCATAATTACCTTAGCGCATACTATGACTGGACCTACCAAACCTAGCGGATCATAGAATTTACTGATATAGCTTAAAATGCCGCGCTTCGTAACTGGAAAGTCTTCGATTGGTTTGGGACTTGAAATTATAAATGAATCGGTTTTAACATTAAAATTTATACCTAAGGTTTTAAAGGATAAGTTACTTTTCTGTAAATCAATGTCATCAAAATGTTGTCTTGATTTAGGAATATCATGTAATAATTCAGGCAGATTAGAAACCCATTTATGTAACTGAAAACCCCCTAATTCTAAAAGACTACAGAGTTGCTCCTTTGCCTTTATCAAAAGCTCTGGAGAACCTTGGGAACAAATGGCGTCATCTATATATGTACAGTTATTTATGATAAAAGCAGCCAGAGGGAATTTTTCTCCATACAGGCTTACTAGTTCCTTTAAACACCTTGTGGCTAAGTAAGAAGAAGACTTCATGCCATAAGTAACTGTATTCAACTGAACATATTGCAAACCTTGTTCTGGGCTGTCCCGCCATAGAATGTTTTGCAAGGGCCTATACTTTGGATCTAATTCTACACATCTGAACATACTTCTGATATCAGTCACAAAAATATATTCATCTACTCTAAACAACAACAAAATGTCTATAAGTTCCTTTTGAGTAACAGGGCCATTATGCAATAAATCATTTAGTGAAATCTTATTTGTAGTCTTCATAGATCCATCAAAGACAACTCTGCATTTAGTAGTCTTTCTATCAAGTTTTAAGACAGGATGATGTGGCAAAAAGAACACAGGATCTTTTTTGAGGTCATATTGATTTATGTCTATTATAGTTCCATGACCTTTTTCAATATATTCGTGAATAAATTCCTTATAAAGACTATGCAAAAGAGGATCTTTTTTGAATCTAACTTCTAAGTTGTGAAATCTCCTTGAAGCTAAATACAATGAGTCTCCAAGGGTCTCTCTGATAGAATCTAATGGCAGCTTTAAGGGCAAGGCTACTTGAAATTTCTTACTTTTTGTATCTAATTTGACAGTTTCACAGAAAAGTTTTTCACAAGTATCATGTTCACTAAGTTTTTCTGGAAAATACTCAGGGACCTTTTCTGCTTCAAAAAAGGTTTCAAAATTTTCATTCAATGTATGAAGGTAATCTTGGGATTTACAAAAAAGTGTTACCGGTATGTGTGAATGAGCAGTGTGGGTAGGTACGGTGCCAGCAACAATATGACCGAAGACAGTATTTAACACAGGTACTGTAGAGACTTAACATTTTCTCTTACATCTTTCCCGGAGTTGGACTGGAACCTATTTGGCTCAGTCGGTAGTAGCACCTGGAAGAAGATGTCAGCTCCTAATAGAATATGTATTGTACTAGGTTCATTAAAAGTGTTGTCAGCTAGTGTTATGTTTGCGGGAAGCAGCAGACCCTCCCCACTGAATTTAATCTGAGGCAGTTTAGTAGTGATAGAATCCAAAAGATAGCAATTCACATTTATTTTATAATCCTGGATTAAAGAGTGGATGTCTATGTTAACACATTTTGATAGCTTAGCTTTGCTATTACCTATGCCAGTTAAAGGTGTGTTAATTGATTTAGGCTGTAAGTCAAGTAGGCGTGCAAGTTCAGTTGTAATGAAAGACGCTTGAGAACCACTGTCAAGTAATGCCTTCACATGCACCTCAGTCCCATTCTTAGCAATAAGCTTTATTCTAGCCGTAGGTAATAATACCTGATTGCTTGCTTGAGAAGCCAAAATTACTGGTGATTGTGCCTTATCAACATGAAGTAGTGTGTTGTGACCTTGCTTGCAAATGTCACACTTAAAGTGAAACCTACATTTATTATTATGTTTATTGAGGCACACCTTACACAAACCATGCTCTTCTGTAAATTGAAGCCGTTCTGATGCATTTTTTGATTTAAATTGTGCACATAAAAAAAGCTTGTGAGCAGACTTACATATTAAGCAGGCAGGTTGAAATGAAGTGGATGTTGAAGCTTGAGGTTTTTCCTTCCTATCTTTTATCAATATATTAGCTACCCTTGGACGATCCGCCACTGGTTTCTCCACATTCTCCAAGGCTTGGGCTCGCCTATCTAGAAAATCCAACAAATGTGCTACCTTTGTTTCCTTTTCCCTAATTAATTGAAATTCCCTATTGCAATAGGTGTCCAGCTTCCTTGTGAGTATGCATAACAGAATAGCATCCCACTGATCAACAGGCATATTTAGGTTTCTAAGAGCAACTAGTTGTTGCTTAACAATTGACAAAAAGTTTCTAATATTATGTGCCGTTGACCTTGGTATGGGATTTATATCTAATAGTGAACTGATTAACTCATTTGTGATTTTATATTCATTGTCATATCTATCATGTAGAATAGACCTAGCTTCCATGTAATTTTCACTTGTAATGGTTAAATTTTTAATTAAATCTAAGGGTTCTCCCTGTAAATAACTCCTTAAATAAAAGAATCTTTGTACATTATCAAGTCTGGTACTATTATGTATTAAGCTATCAAATAGTCCAACAAAAGCCTTGAAATCTGAATATTTACCATCAAAATTAGGTATGGTTATATGAGGTAACTTAGTTTGTATATTTTGACAGGAGGGCTTATTTCCACATTCAATTTCTTGTTTATCTAATTTTTCGATTAATTCTATGATTAGTGAACGCGTATTTATGTATGTATTTTCTGTAGAATCAAAGTCTATGTCGGATTTACTAGCGTCTAAACCACAAATGTCTAAATTATAATTTTCATATTTATCGAAGGTGGATTTTAAGCGTTCCTGTTTTAATACTAATGTTTGTTTTGTATAAGCTAAATACACTGTTGGATCACTGAATGAAGAAGCAAATTTAGTTAGCGAACCTTTTAAAGCGCCACGTTTCCTTATGAGCGACTGCATGGCGTCGCCTTCCTTTTCTTCTAGTGTCATTTTTACAAGATTTAAACTTATATTACGCTGAAATTATACACACACTTAATATTAAGTGCAACAATATAATGCAGAGCACAGTTTACAAACTTTCGCTTCAATTTGTCGTCGGCACTCGGCGGTGTGGCAAGATGGCGTCCGTGGTCCGAGCCGCGCCAGCGCAGCGTACAGGAAATTTGCGTGCGTTATGTTGGCTATAGTGCGATGCTCGTCCAATCACGGTGCTGTGCTACATGCGTCATCCGCCCGGTGAACAAAATAAAAAAACCTTGCTTTGGAAATACGTGCAACCGATTATGGAAATGATATATTTTTACCTGAAAAGCTGAAAAAACAACAAGCTGAGATAAAATATACGTGCGGAATGCGTTGATTGCTCCACTGCAAATTCCCTTTGTCTTTCGTTTTACGAAAAAGTTGTCTTGCGCAAGGTGGATAAAATTATTGAACACGTGATTGCGTAGTTTACTGCAAATCTCGGTTTTTATCCTCTTCCTCTTTGACCCAATCCAAACTGAAATTCCTTTTTGTCGAGACAAGTTCTTCGCCGAAATGTCGTTCAAAATGGCTGCTTCTTGAAAATTGGTCGAAACAAAATACTCTCGACACGTCGAAATTTAGAACTGTCACGGTAACACTCGCGATACTAGCGGTGAGATAGGACCATGTTTTGAAGCGGACTGTATATAGGTATTTTGCTGGTCATCTACCTTAAAGGAAACCACGAGTAGAAATTATGCTTGTTTATTGTAGATCGGATGGAACGCAAGTGAATGTTACATTGGTATATTGTCGTTGGCAGCTAAAGGATACACAATGCAGCCAACATAATTAAACTAAGATGTTGTGTTACCAACATAGGTGAGTACATTGCGCTCTGAATGTACTTGCGTATCAACTGAATTGTTTGCGCTCGGCAATGGATGCGAAACAGGCATAGACGCGGTAATACCTATTCTTTTACTAGAAATATTATTATTGTGAATTAACGTCTTATGTTTCTTCTTACATAATTTACATGGACCGTAGGAACATTCTTTTGGCAAATGGCTATCAGTACGAATACAATTTATACAAAGGTTTTTATTTTTTACAATTAAATATCTATCTTGCACGGACTTATTTAAAAAATTAGGACATGAATACAAGTAATGATCACCGCCGCAATCAACACAAATGCATTTTTGTTTATTATTATTCGAGTTATATTTATGAGTGAAGTTAGTTACGTAAGAATGTGTGAAAGGGTGCGAGTTTATGTTGCTAGATTTCTAGTAGATTATTTAATTTGATGTTATTTGAATCATTTTTAGACAATAGGGAACCTTTATGAGTTTCCCACTCGCGTTCTGTGGACTGACCGAGTTTAGAAGCAATTAGATAAACGATTAATGTGTCCCAAGCATCGGTTGGTTCGTTTAATGATGCAAGTGCACGCAAATTACGTAATGTTGAATCTATCAACCTCCTAATATGAACAAACGATTCATTTTGAAGTGACTGAACAGTAAATAACGCTTTTACATGATTTTGTATTAATAAACGGTTATTGTGAAACCTACCCTCCAATAAATCCCAAGCGTGTAAGTAGTTCGGAGCGGTGAATTCTAATGCACTAATTACATGAGAGGCAGAACCACTAAGAGACGATTTAAGATAGTGAAACTTTTGTATATCATTAAGATCTTCACGATTATGTATCATAGTGAGATATGAGTTTCTATACTCCAACCACTGATCATACGAACCATCAAAGGCAGCTAGTTTTATTACTGGCAATTTAATAGACACAGGATTACAAACTTTATGAGGAACAGATTGGTTTTGATCACTGTTGTTAGCGTTCACTAAGCACTTCGCGTCAGCCATAATGGAAAAATACTGCTGTTCAAATGATTCTCGGTATTCTAATTGATTTATTATATCAGAATCTTCAACTAATTGCTCAATTTCACTTTGAATATCATTAAAAATTTGAAAAATAGTGCAAGTCGACTGTATTCGTAATTCTAATTCAGTTTTGCTATTGAAATTTAATTCTAATTTGTCTAATTTTGAAATATACTTTTCAAATAACGTTAGCCTGCCTTTTAGAGTGCCTCGCTGCTTTTTCAAGTCAGCGACGCGTTTGTTTGACATTGTGCTACTAGCTAAACGGGGGGATTTAACGTTATCTTTTATCTGAACCGAGGCTAACTGTAAACCCTCATCGTCACTCATTCTGGCCGATTATAGAAAGCACGAGTACTTACAGTTTTACCCTGCTCAGCATCAGCGCGGCTCACAACAGCAACACAACGAACAACTAAAACGTAAAAAAAAACGATATTAACGCAAATTGTTGGACACAGAGAAGGGAAAACGGGTTTTGTGACCTGACCGGATGCGACCATCGGCTGTGATCAGATCGGATGCAATGCTCCATGCGGCCGCGTGGTTTCTTTTTCAAAAAATCCGACTCGTAGGACCAATTTTATGTAAAGACTATCCCTTAATCAAAGGAATACCTTTGATTGAGGGGCAAGGGCGTCTTCAATAAACGATTTATTATTGGTTTAAAACATAAACGTATATTTTTTACAATATTTTGTGATAGAAAAGAAAAAACGATGCGTTCGGCTGCACAGAGCATCGCAGAAGAAGAAAAGGCGAGTCAGTGTGAAGTTGAAGCTCGCCGGTAGCACCGCAGCTCGCACGATGTTCACTCGCCAAATATAGTGTCGCCGTATGCCACTTGATGGCGCTGTACTTATATGGAACTTCAACAGTCTTCGAAGCATTCTTTGTCTCAGACAGAGCGAGCTTGTGAGGACAGCTTTCACTTATATACAACCCGTGATGAGAATGGTCGATTCGTGGTTACTATGCCTCTGAAGGAGGATCCTAAGGTGTTAGGCGAATCTTATGAAAGAGCCAAACTTCGGTTTTTATCACTAGAGCGACGGTTCCGCCGTGACCCTGTCTTCAAAAAGAGATTTTCATGCAGGAGTATGAGCGTTTGGGGCATATGACGGAGACTCCTACACCAAGAAAACCTCACTCAGGTGGTACTATTGAATATTTTTTACCACATCATGGTGTGATCTAGGAATCAAGTGTTAGTACTCAAGTAGTAGTAATCAAGTGGAGAAAGAGGCCTGACCACAACAGGCATATGCGCCATGAATGCAGCAGGCGAATTTATACCACCCATGTTAATATTTAAGCGCAGCAGACTAAACGTTGTCTTAAAAACAGGAGCTCCACCAATCACATCAAAACTTTTTGTTCAATGGCTCCAACATTTCATCAAATGTACAAGATTAGAAACAAATGATCAAAAACAAATTTTGCTTTTACTAGATGGTCATAGCACACATACCAAGCGATACCAATACAATTAGAAGCGATCCAGTTGGCTCGCGATTATGGCATAATAATGCTATCTATCCTTGCTCACACGACCCATCGCCTACAACCGTTGCACAGATCGTTCTTCAAATCATTGAAAAGCTATTATAATAAAGCCGCATCTTCATGGCTCCGCTCAAATCCTGGTAGTGTCATAAAACAAACCAACGTTGCAGAGTTGCTTGGAAAAGCATACCCTAGGTCGGTTCGTATGGATATAGCGCTAAATGGTTTTGAAGCAACAGGGCTTTGGCTTTGTGATAGAAATGTCATTAAAGAAGAGGATTTCGTAGCTTCTTTAAACATCTCTGATTCATCAAATCAAGAACTTGGTGATCAAACTGAACGAAACACCCGCTCGAGCTACATCGCCATCGATTAACGCCACCATTAGTAACTTCGCTATCAATACAGGTTGTATCTCCACCAAAAGATTCATCACCGTCACCACCAAATATTACAACGCCCCCTTTGTCACCTAGAGTTTCAACACCACCCATCATTCAACCTGGACCTTTCACAATATCACAAGAAACTTGACACAATTAATAGGTGGTGGTTATGTTTTAAAGAAACACTTATTGTAAGACTGACTTTTATTAAGCTAATTCAGAGGACTCGCTAAGCGCGGCCATGACCAAGAAGGGTCAGGAAATCACAATGTTGCCATATATCTAACATCTTCCCTTTGAAATAATTCGGGTGCTGCATTTATACCAAATGGTAAACGTGTATATCTGTACCTGCCATAGGGTGTAATGAAAGTACAGAGCCGTGAAGCAGCATCTGTCAATCTCATCATCCAGAAACCTTTGTTAGCGTCTAATGTAGTGAAAAACTTAGCCCCGGCAAGATCTGATTTTATCTCGTCTATAGTGGGGAACTGGTAATGAGGTCTCATGATAGCTTTATTTAATTTTCTAGGATCAATACAAAGTCGTAATTTACTATTCTTTTTTAGTTATGACTATGGAACTCACCTATTCAGTTGGTTCCTCGACTCGACAAATTATTCGTTCCTTCTCCATGGTATCCAGTTCATTTTTTAAGGCATCTCTTAACTGAAGTGGAACTCGACGACATGGATCTACTGATGGTGTCACAGCACGCTTGAGTGTGAGGTCACATTCATAATCTTTCAGACATCCTATACCTTTGAAAAGGTCTAAATTATCACAAGTGCTATGTGTAACTATGTTAACTGAATGAATCCTCTTTATAAGATTTAGAGCCTTGCATGAGTCTCTACCTATAATATTTTGGCAATTTAGCAAATCAACAATGTGGAAGTTGATGTCGTATGACCTGTTGTTTTGAGTAACTGTCAAAGTACATTGCCCTATAGTGGGAATAATCTCTCCACTGTATGTAGATAGTCTATGGGTGTTGTTAGTAACAAGTTTGTATGATATGTTTAATGAATTAAAAGTATGTTTTGACAATATATTTGTATCGGCACCTGTATCAAGAAGAAAATTAACTGCAATATTATTAATAGACAGATTGATTGTCCAGGTGTCCTTGTTAACATTGTTTACATGTATTACACCCAAGAAAAGATCCTCGGAGACTTGATCCGAAGTTTCAATCACATTAATATTTCTAGTACGACACATTACTGCAAAATGATTGTATTTGTTACATTTTTTACACTTTACACCTTTAGCTGGACATTTAAAACGGTGTATTTGTCCACATTTTCCGCATACCTTTTGATTGCGCTGTTTGTTAGCCCCTCTGTTTTGACTGCTCGAACGACTATGTTGTTGGTTTTTTGACTGACTTGATTGACGTACCTGCCCGATTGTTGTTGCTGGCGTTGTTTCTTCTAGCTTCTTTGCATATTGTTTCGAAGTTTCAGCATGTCTGGCAAGCTGGACTGCTTTCTCTAAAGTATTTGGTTTTTGTATCAATTTTTTTTTCTTTCATGTACTGATTGTCACTGTGTAGGTTCCAGCTGAAAATATCTCGTAGAATACTGTCCTGTTTGTCTGCGAAATCACATTGTCCAGCGATATTCTTTAAATCAGTTAAGTACTGATCTATTGTCTCACCTTGGGCCTGACGGCGATTGAAGAGTTTGTGTCGTTCCATCGTGATATTGATTTGTGGTGTAAAATATTCTTCAAATGTGGAAATAAGATCCTCAAGACTGACTTTGTCAATATCTAAATTGAACGAAAAGAAAATCTGAAGTGCGTCTGTGCCTAGGAAATGAAGCAAAATGGCTACCTTTCTCGCGTCGTCAGCGTTGTCCAAGTCATTAGCCTTAATGTATATTTTGTATTGGGTAATCCAGTTTTTCCATGTCAGCGGCATGTTGCTTGCAGTTATATCTAAGGGTTTTAGGGAACCCGATCCAATCGTAATGTAAGATCCGCCATGTGATGAACCGTACATTTTGACATCGTCTTGATTAGGCATCATCATCATCATCATCAACAGCCTTTAATAGTCCACTGCTGGACATAAGCCTCTCCTTAGAAATTCCTAATTCTCACAAATTGTTATGTATATATTTTTTTCTATTTTAGGCCTCGCTGTCACCATAATAGGTGGTGGTTAGGTTTTAAAGAAACACTTATTATAGGACTGACTTTTATTAAGCTAATTCAGAGGACTCGCTAAGCGCGGCCATGACCAAGAAGGGCCAGGAAATCACAATGTTGCCATATATCTAACAACAATGACCATCAACTAAATCTCAATTGAATATTTTATCTCCTGTGCCTTGCATAAAAACAATAACACTAGTTTACACGGTTTTCATACCCCAGCTGAAAGTTGTTATTTTGTTATTCATTTAGGGAGAATTATCCAGAAAAAATAATAAAAAATTCGGTCACGTCTGGTTTAAGAAATATTTATTAACTTAACTGAAATACATAATTTTGGTGTTAATACTAAAAAAAAATGCCAAATTTTTGCCTTCTTTTTATAGCTATTTGAATCAGTTTCTCTTATAATGGACCAACAGTAATCTCCTAACATGTTTTCATCCCAAAATCCTTGATGTCGTTCTTCAAAAACCTTTAAATCTTGGTGAAAACGTTCCCCTTGTTCGTCACTCACTTCCTAAGTTTTCAGGGAAAAAACTTAGATGCGAGTGCAGAAAATGAATCTTTAATGACATGTTTACTCCCATCTTTTGAAAATTTTCCAATAAATCGGTAACAATTTCTTTGTAATTTTCACTTTTTTTGCTTCCCAAAAAATTTTCCACAACCATTTTGAATGACTTCCAAGCAGATTTTTCATTAACAGATAAAAGGCTTTCAAACTGAGAATCTTTCATAATTTTACGGATTTGTGGGCCAACAAATATACCCTCTTTCAGTTTTCCTTCTGTAATGTTTGGAAAGATTTTTTGTAAATACCGGAAAGCATCACTGTTTTTGTCAAGCGCCTTCACAAAAATTTTCATGAGCCCCAATTTGATGTGTAAAGGGGGTAGAGTGACGTTATTGGGATCTACCAACAGCTCGTGTTTAATGTTCATTTTGCCCGGAATATACTCATTCCGAATAGGCCATTCTTTTCTTACATAATGATGTTGTTTCGCTCTACTGTCCCACAAACAAAGGAAACAACAGTATTTTGTGTAACCACCCTGCAATCCCAATAACATACCGATGACCTTTAGGTCGCCGCACAGTTTCCATTGGTGTTCTTTATACTTTATTAAATTAATTAAAATACGCATCGTTTCATAGCTCTCTTTACAATTCACTGCGTGTCCTATTGGTATGGACGGTTTTTTATTACCATTATGTAATAAAACAGCTTTTAGACTATATTTCGAAGAGTCTATGAATAAGCGCCACTCTGTTTTATCATAGTTTTGATTCATTGCTTCAAAAAGTCCCGGGATATCAGTACAATAACAAGATTCACCTTCTTTTTTGAAAAATTCTGAGTAAACTTTGCTTCTGTTTCTGAAAAACGTAATTTTTGTGCCTGGTAGTAATAAGTTCCACTGTTGTAAGCGGGAACCAAGAAGCTCTGCTTTAGATCTTGATAATTGTAAATCTCTTGTAAGATCATTTAATTCGGCTTGGTTAATTAAATGTGGAATCTTTTCTTGAAGTGAGAACTCGTCAGAATCACTAGAAATCGATTTGAATTCAACATCACTTTCATTGTCATCTAGTATATTTGCACTCGAATTACCAGGACAAACTGGATGTGGTAGATCTTTCGAATGTAATATGGGCTTAGTAACAGACGGAACATCGGCATATATAATAATTGCCTTATTTTTTTTTATTATATCCCAATGTCTTCGTAACACAAAAGTAACAATCATTTTCATGATTACTAGGTTCTCTCCATAGCATTGGTGAACCAAATGGAAGGTGAACGTTTTCTCCTGATGACCACTGGAGTAAGACGATTCTACAGCTTTCGCAAAACACATGAGGAACCCACTTTTTATCTTGATTTGCAACGGGAAATCCAAAATAATGAAGATATGCACTTTTTAACGAATCTACAACGGGTCTTCTCTTTTTTGAAAATATAAACTGTCCACAAACATAACAAAAACGATCAGAACTTTGTTTACACTTTCTACTCGACATTTTAAATCAATCCGAAACAAGATAATTGTCGTTTGAAGCGAACGAATAAACAATAAACTGTCGTCACCACGTTAGGTAGTTAAAAAATAAACATTTGACTGCAGGAAGAAATTGTGACGTGATAAAATATTTTTGCTAACACTTTTAGATTTAAGGAAGGTAGATTAACATATTTATATACATTTATTTTGGGGTATAAAAAAAAGTTCATTTTTGTAAACTAGTGTAATTAGTAAAATGAAGAAAGGTACTAAGCCAACAATGGAATTAACTTCCAGTCCCTACAAAAATGAAATAGATGCCAAGGAAAACATAAATAAAAAGAAGAAGCCTAAACTAGATTTATAAAAAGTCAAAACAGAAAAAAGAATAAATAAAACTACAAAAAGAAAGGATACAGATTAGGGTGTCCCGAAATTTTTTTATTCTTATTTTAGCTACTTAAGACCTCTCAAAAGTTGCGCTGTTAGACGTAGATTAGCGTAAAAATAATTCAAAAAATATTTAAAAATATCCTTAGGGCTCTACCAGCATTTTTATTTACTGAAAATTCGCAAAAACAACCTTGTAGTCAATGTCGTATATTCTATGTTTTATGAATCAATCCTGTTTTGTCTTGTAATTTTATCAATAAGAAAAGCCTCGGCTATGATTTGCAAGTATCGACAGGTTGTTTTAGCGATCAATCGGTTTGGATCGGACTTGCAAAATTCCTACAAAATTCATGTTTTGACTTGATTTTCGTACGTGCGCTACTTTTACAACAAGACAGTTCGTCTCATTTCTATTTCGATTTTACTCT